GGGCTGCCCCCTGCTCGGCTGCGGCGGCGGCGGCCGCTTCCTCTCCGGCGCGCCTAGCACCCCTTCCCCGCGCCGCTCCGGCCTTTAAACCACCTCGCTAATCCCCCGCCTAACCGGATTAAAACCCGCCGCCCTCCCAAGCCCCGCTGCCGGGGCGCTGACACGGGTCCTGCCCGCCCAGGGAGGGTCCGGCCGCCCCCGGGCAGGGCTCTCGGCTCCGAGGCCCCGGGACCCCGCCGGACACGGCGGCAGGAGCGGGGAGCTGCAGCGACCCGCTGGTGCTGGCTTCTCTCCTCCTCGCCTTCCCCGCCGCCACGGTGGGGCAAACGGAGCGAGGTGGGGCGGGTGTTCTGGCCCAGCAGCGAGGTCCTTCCTCCCCCGGCACCTCCTTCTGCCCCTCGCCATGGTTCTCGATTGCCAGTGCCACCGGCATCCCTGGGCTCCTAAGGCGGCAGCAGGTGGTTTGCACGGGCACATTCCCCGAGACGTGCACATCACAAGTACGAATGGACTGGACTAAAATTTAGGTAGAGAGAGGAAGGGACCGCTCTCGGGTCAAGTGTCCCGGCAGGGAGCCAGCCCTTCAGTGGCAGACGCAGCCACTTCTCTCGGTAGGTATGTCTGCACAGCGGAGTTGCAGCTCTGCCTGAGAGGGCTGTTGTGCCCGGCCTGCACTAAGCGTCTCTGGAGTCTCGGAGTTCTGATGGGTGTGGAGGGTGGAGCAATCTCTGTAAGAGAAGTGATGGGTTCAGAAGACGCAAGAAGGAGCTAGGAAATTCTTCTGTGGTTGCATATGCTTTCGAGGTCTAGATCCCAAATAGGGCTCTATGCTCTTTAGAACAGGGTGCCCTCCATGAGTGTTTGTACAGCACTCAGCACCTCTGACCCTACACCTGCTTTCCTACGATACCAGCAGAGGCAGAGTTCACGATGCTTTACACTGAACAAGGCTGCAGGCCATTAAAACGGGCCTGACGGAGTTCTGCTATCTGGCACTTCAAAAGTCCCTATGAGCAGTAGCTCCTCCCTCTTTCCACCCCTGTCTTTTCTCCTTAAAGACACTCCTTTCTTCTCCTCCACACCACTCACCAGATGTAAGCAGCTGTCAGCAGTATGGAAGATTTAAATTTTTCTTCTCCAGCGCTGCTCCTGTAGTGCTCCTGGGGTTTGTTTTATTTTAGACAGTTCACTAAACTCAGTTCCTCTTCCCCTCCCTCTGACTATTATCCCTCCCCCGTCCCAGCAGTTGGTATGCAATTTCTACATAATCTACACTGGCAGCTGCATCCCCAAACCCCACCAGCTGTTGGTCCTGGGCCAGTTAAAACAGGTGGAAGGAGCTGGCCAGCCAGGGTCTCAGGGGAGCCAGGGCTGTGATGGGAGCAGAAGTATTGCAGTGCAGAGCAGCAGAGAGCCCACGGCATGGTGTGGTGGTGACAGGCGGGGGGTGCAGGCACGAGCTGAGGGTGGAAGGACGGTCGCAGCTTGGTATTGATAACCCTGTAATGGAAAGCCTTCAGTGAGCTGTCTTCTGACATGACTGGCTCTACTGATGACAGTTAGTAAAGGACTTTCTATGACTTGCTGTGATAAATTTTACTCTAGTTTATATATTTTTACAGATACTTACCTAATGTAAGTGAACTTGTCTGCTGTTTACAGCAACGGAGCTGAATAAATACTGCGCGGTGCTGCAGCATTGAGGGATAGGTGGGTTTAGCTCAAACTTTGCGTGTGTGCACAGACAAAATCAAAAACATGGAAAATGATATTTGCATGACAGCATTCATTTTGCTGCTCTTGTTTAAAGAAGTATTTCAATGACTTTCTTTGCAATTCCAATAAAATCCAATGAAAACTAAAGGAGATCAATCATATTAAAAATCACTTGAGAGCTGACTAATATTAGAAAGATGTCTTTTGGATTTTCTCTGGATAGAAAATATATGTTGTTTTTTTGTTTGTTCTTTCCTATCAGAGGGACATAGACTTTATTACAGTTGCTGTGCTTAATAAACTGAACAAACCCCCTGAAAATGAGGACACCTGTTACTAACAGTTGCAGATATAAGATTCTAAAACGTGGCAAATGTGTCCCATGGTGATGCCTCAAACTGTACCAGGGTTTATTTTTTGTCACTAAAGCACCTAATTATCCTTTGGCAACTGAAGATTCTGAAAAATCTGGAAAAGGAGAGAGAGAGAGGTGCCATTCATATCCTCTCACAAGCCACATAGGCTTCTGGGACAGGGGTTAAATTTGCTCCTCCTTCTTGCCTTTATTAAAATATAAAATTATGTCACAAACCTAGGTCACATTCCTCCATGATATAAGAAAAGCGGAGAAGACATGGATAGAAAGTCAGTTCCTGAAATAATCAGGGTACTATGAAGTTCCTCCTCCACACCCTGTCCAGACTGTGGCTTCGTTCCTGCAGGCCACAGATTTCCAGGACCGGGCCTTTCAATCTGCAGCAGCGCCTGCCTGAAGGACTGGGGCCCAACACCGTTACTGTAAAGGGAGTGGAGAGGAACAGTAGGAGATCAGATTAGTTTATTGTTATCTATAGAAAGCACGCCTAATTTGCAGCCACTCTTATCTCTCTTACTGTATTAAATCTGGAGTAAACACTAATTAATGTAATGGCCCTAATAGATTAGAGAGGGAAAGTATGCTGTTTGCTGCTCACCCCCAGAACACACCTGCTTGCCTGGTGGGGTTAAAATCTGCGGAATAAACCAAGTCATGATGTTTCCTGAAATACATCTCTCTTTGAACTAGCCAGAGGTTTCATCCATTCAGACCCTCGGGTTTCCCAGGAGTCCAAGCCCGCTGACGGTGCCTCGGTTTTCTCAGGTTTATTAGAGTTGCACCCAACGGTACGTAACTAGTAAGTAAGGCGGGTTGATTTGCGTTATCACTAGCGGCATTTGCCGAGCGCCCTGCGCTTGACCCGGCTGGCTCGGGACCTGAGGGAGGCTCCTGGGTTTGATTTTCAGCGTCCTGCCGCCCTCTGCCTGGAGCCGCCAAATGGGCGAGGGGGGAGAGGACTTTCACTAAGTGACCGTTCCCGGATTTCTCCGTGATTAACAGGAAATGCTCTTTGAGCATCATCCCGTAATGTGTCTGGGGG